GTGGCACAGAGTTGGACCAGAGGGCCTGGGAACTGGGGTGGGAATGTAGTTCCACGGTTACTGATAGGAAAGAGAGAAGGAGGAAGAGAGAGACCAGAGAAGTACAAGAGATGTCCCAGGGCCAGCAGACAGGGAGATGGGAAGTGGGGAAAGGACAGGGGAGGAAGGAAGAAGTGAAACATTAGCTGCCACAGGGGTGCATGCCCTCAGAGCACGGAGGGATATGGGCTCTTAGTCCCAACTGGCCAACAGCCCAGCCAGGGCCCCTTTCTACCACAGCAGGAAGCTGATTCTAAGCAGAAGGTCTTGTGGTAGCAACTGAGGAGAGAACTTGCCTCCCTGGGGAGACTTCTCTAAAGAACCCTCCACCCCCACCCTCCAAGAAGCTGAGGGGAAAGGCACTCACTGCAACCAGCCTCCTGTGCAGGGCAGGAAACCCCACTACATCCCATATGACTGGTTCTCCATAAGGGAGAATCAGGGAGGTCACTCTCTAGTCACCAGTCATCTCTCCTAGTTAGAAACAGCTGAGTCCCCTCCCCACCTCCAGCAGACTCCCTGCTTCTGTACTGGTCCTGGAGGTTTGTATGGTACCAGAGCCATCGGCATTGCCAGGAGGGGATGATGTATCACAAATGCAGATTCCTGGGCCTGTTCCAGAATCCATCTCTGGCATGGGCTTGAGAACCTGCATTTTAGGCAGGCACCCCAGGTGATCCGGCTGCACACTTCACTTAGCGATCCGCTGGATTAGGGCTACCCAAACTGGGTTTTCCTCCTGTCCCTCCTGGCCTTATTTAGTCACTAGTGTGATAGCCAAATCGTACTGATAAAAAAAAGGCAGAAAGGAAGAGGACTGGAAACAGTGTTGTGGCCCATCGCCAGAGACCTCCTGCAGGTTAGGTCTGGGCAGGGTCACTCCATTTCCCATGACCTATATTGTCAGCCAGCTGCTGGGTCACGCTATCAGATGCCTCGCAGCAGGAAAGCCAGATCATTCCTCCAGCAGCCTGGAAAGGAGACGAGGAGACCGCACACAGCCTGACCGCTGACAGTGAACCTGTCCTTGCTGGTGATCATGTCTTCTTCCCCCTGCGCACAGTGATTCACCTGGGATTTACTCACCACACTGCAGTCTGCAGTCTATATTTTCCCCTTTATGAAAGCCAACGCAGGCTCCCCGTTTGGGTCTTCTACCCCTCTCCTCTTTACTATGGCCACACATTCCTTCCTCAGAAGGGTTCCAGGGCTGTAGCCACAGATCTTTCAATTCACTCAGTCCTTTGCTGAGAGCCACTTGCCAGGCATGGCCCCTGCTCACAGGGTCGCAGTACCTGGGCCCTGAGAAAACTCAGTTAAAGGCAACCAAGAGCTCTCTTACTCCCTGTCACTTACCTTTGGCTCCTGTCCTGCCCCTCCTCTCATCCCCTTTCCCATTTAAAGCTCTTTCTTCCAAAGCCAGGTGGGAGGGGAGCATGTCTGCTTTCTCCCTGAGTTTCTTCACATCTCACCACGTCCCAGGCCACTGTTGGTTTCCTCTTGGCTGTCCTTTTTGTTCTCAACCCATCTCTCTAGTTAAAAGCTTTTTCTGTTCCTTCATTTTAGCATTTGTCAAGAGCCTCTGTCTATTCTGAGCTTTGGTCTTTAAAACACCTGCCTTCCAACTTGTCCCCTGCATTCACTCAGGTGACGTGTCCTCACCCAGGTGATGTCCCCCTTCTCCCACAGCCAGCACAAGGCCTTTAAACGTCAGCTCTCAGCAGAGTATACCCGCTTATGCAGATGCCCCCCACCCCTTGATTCACAGGGGCCTCTTATGGTTGCTCTGTGAGCATCTGTTTGGTAAAGTCCTCTCAGGCCATCTTCCCTCCCAGGAGACTGGCCACAACATCCCCAAGCCACTTTCCTACAGCTAAGGAAGCATGTCCAACTGTGCCCAGTGACCCTGTCCTGTGCTGCTCAGAGTTCTCAGGTAACACAGCTGCTGTCTCTGAACGGTCCTGTCATTTCCATTTTACCTACTGGTCCTCCCCTGTTGCTCCCAATTATGTCCAGAGAAGCAGAGCTTTGTCACCTTTGTGGCAGGAGAGAAAGCTCATAGATGTTCAGCTTTCAGCTGGGGGACTCTGGAACCATTAGCCAGGGCCTAGAGGGCCGAGCCCTGTACCCTTCCTCTTCCCATGGGTGAGAAGCTTAGAGGCTAGCACCCTCCTTATGCCCCGAACACGCTGACCTGTGCCTCCATGCTCTGACACATACATTTCCATACAGGTATAGATAGATCATCTTGATGCAGCAGACCCTGCCGGCCCTCCTCCCACTGCCGCCTTCCCCCTACCCACACACCCTTCTTCCTTGCTATTTGCCTGAACCAGACACTGGGCTATCAGGAGAGGTGGGGCTTCTCCCAGACCAAGGTGGGTGGGTCCTGATAAATTCCTAGCAATTGGGGCAATTCCTTCTCCTTGCCAGTGAATGACTTAGGCAGAGCAATGAGAAGAGAGGGGAGATCAGTTAGGGGCTTCTGGGGAAGGTCCTCTGGCTCCTAAAAAGATCTGTGTGCTTAGGACCCCTGGAATGAAGGCAGCCACGGGGGAGGGCAAAGTGATGGCCAACAGGACCATGATACGGAAAGAACCTAGGTCCTCACATCCTTGAGCTGCTGAATTCCCCAGCCCTGGATCCTCCCGGCTTCCAGACTTCTTTTGTTACATAATGCCTTTCCTTATCATTTAAGGCATTGTGAGTAGGAGTTTCAGGGATTTGCAGCTAAAAGAATTCCAACTGATACATGAAGCCCAGTGCTGCTCCCCCAGTGCTCTAGTCAACAGTATTCCGGTCACTGGTGCCGTCTCACCAAAGCTTGGTGAGACGCATGAGGTTGTTTCCTGGCAAAGCATGAGAATCCAGCATAAAGATACAGAATTTGTATCAGGCCAACCTGGGCTGAAGTCCCAGCTCTGCCACTTCCTAACCATGTGACCTCTGTCCCTCTGGGGCCTTTATGTCCTCACCTGCAAAGCAGGGAAGACAGTCCATAGAGCATCATCAGTCACATGCGATGACACACACAGAGCACGAGGCCCAGTGCCCACACTCAGGACATGCAATAAATAGTAGCAGTTATTATTATATCATTTTAACATTTTAAGTCTGTTTTGTCTATTTCCCCCTGGATTGGGCCTGATCGATGGCACATTCATTCATCCATTCATTCAACTACCCAACAAATGTTTACTGAGTGCCTATGGGTGCCAAGCACTGCTCTAGGTGCTACAGGATTGCAGCAGTGACAAAGCTAAGCACATATATTTTAAGACCTGAAGTTGTTATGAGGATCAAATAAGATACATAAGTTTGGTACATCAAAAGCGCACTGGCTATTTTTCATCTGCCTCTCCACCCTCCAGATCCTGCTCTGTTCCCTGGCTGACTAAGCCCCCATGCCTTTGCTGACTGGCTTCTGGTTGGGTTTGGCCAATGAGGTTATGGCAGGATGCAGGGGCCAGGTGCTGGTGAAGTTTCTTCCCCACTCCCTCCCTCCTTAGTGCCGTGTTGTAAGCAGCAGCTGTGCTCTCTGTAACTACAGCTCCTGCTGACCAGCTCTCACTGGGCTCCCTAAACCCTACAACTTCCTGCCCCACTTTCCCCTGGCAGGTCCAGCTTTCTGCTCTTCCTGGTCCCCGAATACCTCAACATCCCTTGTGTGTTCCCCTCAGCCCTCTGGGTGGTCCCTTCATTTGAGCCGTCTGAAGAGATATAGTAGGTGTTCACAGAATTCTCAGCCCTAGCAGGAAAGGAGGTATCCACTGTTTCACGCCTGCACCAAGACTTGGATCCTCATACCCCTGGGAATCTGGCTCCCATCCCAACCCTGGGTCTCCAGCACGACATCCAAGGACCTTTTTTTAATATCACGTCCTCTGATTTCTCTGTAGCATCAAGCACTGTTGCACCATCTCAGCACCCCCGACCCATTTCTGTGTCTCTGGTCCTGGCACTTCTATTCTGCTCCCCTCGTCACTGTCAAAGGCAGCTATAAGCTCCAAGTGTTAGAACCAGGTGATGAGGAAGAGGCCTCCGTGTGGCCCTGGGCAAATGTACTGTGTGATCAAGCACATGGTGACTTTTTCCCTTTGGAGAATACTTGGTGGCTTTCAAAGCTCCCCTCCCCCCCCAGCTATGTGACCTCAGAACCTGCTGCTGGATTTTTGTCCCCTTTGTACAAATGAGAAAAGAGGCTGCAGAAGGCAGAGGACTGACCAAGGTCACAGACTGATTGGTATGGAGTGGCGTCCCAGCCCAGAGGACTGAGGGCCAAGTGACCCAGGGTGGCTGAGCAAATGGAGGGTGTGGGGTAGAGGGTACCAGGAGAACTGGGCAGTGGGGACCCGGGCTGTCATGAAGCGCCCCGGGCAGAGGTGACAGAAGTCACAAGGAGACCTTAGAAGGGCGTGCATTTAGGTAGTGAGGCATGAGATGATTTTTTTCTCTGTCTCTTTACAACTTTTCTTTTAAGAATTTCCACAAGGAATATGTATTCCTGTATTAGAAAGAAGGCGTTTTTTTAAAGGAAGTCTATTAGAAGAGGAAAAATGAGAGAGCCGTAGCCAGAACAGTGGCAGTAGGGTGGAGAGAGAACAACTATGTCTAGGTAGCAGGGGAGGGGAGAGAAGAACTCTCGGAGCCGTCCGAGCGTGGGTGGATGCCTGCGGGTGGGTGACATTTCCTGAGAGGAAAGCAGCTGGGGACGGCTTGAGCTCAGAAGAGAGACCTGAGCAGGGACAGATGGAGTCTGGTACCTAAGGAGAGAAGCGTGTGGCGTGAGGAGAAAAGAGGCCAGGCACAGCGAAGTGAAAAGGCAAGCAGAGGAGAAAAACTCAGAAAGGAGTCAGGAGGGGTGGGGGCGGGGGCTAAGGGAGGAGAGGAGGTCAAGGAATGGAGGGTCTACACAGCACGCACCCCTGCCAAGTGTGTGTTGGTGGGTATATACCACTCATGCTGCGGAGAGTTGTGGGAGTCCCATTTGGAGGCTGCTGGAGACCTAGCCAAGCCCAGCGGTGATGATGGAGGGGAGGCAGAGTGGGCTGAGGACTGAATGGAGGAGAGAGCATGGAGGCAATGGAGGTAACCATAGGGGAAGGGGAAGCCACGGAGTGAGCAGCTGGGTGCTAGACGATGGAGCATAACAATGGAGGGAGGCACCCACTGAGGAGGCGAAAGCAAATGTGTTTTGGGGGAGGGGTAGCAAGTGGGGAGGGCACCACTTGCTAGCCGTGTGGTCTTGGGGAAAGCCTCAGTTTCTCCATCTATCAAATGGGGATAGTAAGGACCTTCTTCAGAGTGGTGAGTGTGCAATGAAATAACGGGTGTACCTGGCACAAATGAACACTCCATAAATGTCAGCTGCTGTTTTGGACATGAAGGAGGGACCAGCCTGGACAGGATGACGGGAACTCATCCATGGTGGTGTCAGGAAAAAAGAGCTGGGGGTGGGACTTGCAGGGTGTGTGTGGGGCCCCATGAGGAAGATGGTGGGCCAGTGGGGAGCTAGTGAGAAGAGGCTGGTCAACAGGGGGGCTGGGGGCGGGGAAGGACAGGAGTGGATGGCCCACCTCCACTGGATTCTCCAGGGAACCAGCAGGCAGGATCGTGTGGTAGGAGGGGCTTCGGGGTTTCTGGGTCCCGGTCCTGGCTCTGATCCACCTCGCTTTGCACCACTGGGAAGTCCCTTTCTTTCTCTGAGCTGTCCCTGGGCTGTCAAGGAGGCAGTGGACTCGCCCATTTCTAACCTCCTACCTCTGAGCCTTCGTGTCACAGCATTTCACCCCCCATGCCCACCCCCAACACCAAGAAAAGGCTTGGCTAACCAGGGCTCTTAGAAAATATTTACTGAACAAAATAGTATTCCTAAGGGCCCTCAAACTGTTGGGTTAGGGGCCCCCCCACGGGCCACAGGGCAGAAACACCCATGGGTAAGGTCAACAACTCTATATACCGTCCCTAACACGCTAGTTAAATCTGAAAGAGGGTGCAGCACCCCTGCTGTTCCTTCCCCACCTGGGCGGGGGTGAGGGGCAAAGTACCTCTCTCTTTTTTACCCCTCCTCATCGAATGTCAGCAGGAATGCACTGAAACCCAAACACAAGACTGAAAAGCAGAGGCAAGTTGGTTTCTCCCTCAGCTGGGAGATGGTCTAGGAGCTAAGAGGGAGGCTGAGATGAGAGTGGGGGCCCCAGAGAGCAGGCAGGACTGAGAGCAGAGAGAAGGAAGCAGAGGAGAGGAGGGCAGTGGCAGAAGATGAGGGGGTACATAAGTCCCCCTTCCACACCCCAGGGCAGGCCAGGTCTTAGAAGGGGCCTAGGCAATGGCGCTGGTGGGGACAGGAGTCCACTCACTTCCCCTCCTGCAGGGGCAGCTGGGGAGAAGGCCCGGCGTGAGGGGTCTCCTGACAGGAGGGGCCTGGTTGAGAACCTAAGTTCTAAACCAGATCCAGAGCACTGGGATTGGGGAGAGGAGGGAGGAAACGCTTCAAGGGACTGGTGGGGCAGTCCTGACAGAGAGAGTCTCTCTGAGCAGCCAGGGGGAAGGTAGTCACAGGAATGATAGCAGTAGATGCCCAGCACACAATAGTAAGACATAGCACTGCGGGGGGGAGGGGCATGGATGGGGCCAAGGTCCTGTTCCCACAGTCCTGTTCCCACGGTGCCCACCTTACCTGCTGCTGGGCCTGGATCCTCATGTACTCGGCCCTCTGCTTGCCATGCTTGCTTTTGTCAGGGCTGCCTGCCTGGCCCTGGGCCGCCTTCAGCCTAGAGGCTCCTGGAGTCACCACCTTCATTGGTGGCACACTGCCACCGCCACTCTGCAGGAAGAAGAAAAGGGTTGGGGTTGGAGGGGTATCATACAAGAACCTTAGGCACTGGGTAGAATCTCTGAGGCTGGGACCTCTTCAGTGGGCCCTTTGGGACCTGGAGACACCTGCCCCTTCCCCCTGCCCCCTCCGGCTCGATATCCCACCCAATCCAGGACTCAGGCTTACTCTCTAAGGCCAGGTTTAAGGCCTCCCTGAAGGAGAGGTAACAGGGGCCACCAGCTAGGTTCCAAAACCACACCACTCCCAAGTGGGAACTCTTTGGTGGTTTCGTGGAGTAGCCCAGAGGCAGGTGGTGCCTCTTGGGGGAGCTACTTGTAAAGTGACGGTCCTTAGCACCACCCCCACGCCCAGCAAGGGGCACCATCCTGAGCCCAGGAGAGCATGCCTGAGATGGGGGGTGGGGGGCGTTCTTTATAATGGCAGGCAGAGCAGGATTGACAGCCCAGGCCCAAATCTTTCTCCGAACGTGAGGAGAAAGTCTCCCTGGGGTGAAGTCTCCCCAGGGATGGACAAGTCTGGCCCCCCTTGAACCACTCCAGGTACTAGGCCTGCCCAGAAGGGCTCTGGGGATCCAGAGGCAAAGGCAGAGAAACGACAGAGACAGAAAAAGTCAAACAAGAGAGGGGGAGGGGAGCATGGGGATGGAACAGGGGGAGAGAACTTTATTTGTTGGTTTACAGATACAGAGCAGAGGGGAGAGGCCCTGGTCCCTGCCAGGGGTAGATGGGCTGATCCCTGGAGAGGCCAGCTTCCCAGCCTCCCTGGGCTCTGCCTGTAAACCCAGCCCGGCACTAGGCTCCCAGGAGGGTGGCAAGAACGGAGAGAAGGCCAGTGGGAGGAGGGGGCTGGTGTGGTGCTCCTGCAGCCCTCCACTCCCTCCAGCTCTGAAGACATGAAGGTAGGAGCAGAGGACAGGGGAGGAGGCAGCCACCTGGGGACTTGGGGGCGGGGATGGGGGACTGCCAGGGGGTCCCTTGGTGGGGGTCGTGCCCATCTGGCTCAAGGTAGCTTCCAGCTCCCGGAGAGTCTCCTCCAGGCTGTCCATCTGCTGGGTGGTGGCGCTCCTCACTGTGCAGCCTAGGTCAGCAGCAGGCTGGCCCTTGTACTCCCCATTGCTGGATTGGGAATTGTGTCCAGAGTCCTTGGGGGTCTCCTCTGGGTGCATCTCAGCAGTAGAGGGCTCCTGAGTCCTGTCCAAGGCTGGTCCCCAAGGACAGGGGATCCTGGCTCCTTCCTCCTCTGGGATGCAGTCCCCTCTCCTCAGTCTCTTCAGAGGTGTCCCTTCCTTTCCAGGCATCAAGCTGCCCCTGGGATGGGAAGCCTCAGCCACTTCCCTCGGCAGGGCCTGTGGGCTATCCCAGCCCCTCCCGCTGCCAGCCAGGGTCCGGGGTCTCGGGGTGGGGGTCATCCTGGGACTGGGCCCTTCAAGCCTGGCCTCTGGTGGGGAGGGAGGGTTGGGGGCACACTCCGTCAAGATGATCCGGGGGACGCAGAAGGCCCTGGGGCCTGGGGCAGCCTGGGGAGAGAAGAAAGGTGAGGGAGAATGCGATCCCTGCAAACCACCCCACACCGAACTGGGATGGGGGAGTAGACATGGGTGAGCCTAGCCCCTTCCTTCCATTGATGGAGAAACTGAGGCGGGGGAGAGGCCTGGCTGAGTTGACCCAGCAATTAGAGGCAACGCTGGGACAAGAACTCAGGTCTCTTCCCACCACACCCTCTGGTCTCCCTCCTTCTGGCAGAGATGCCAGCTTCCCTGGAAGCACAGGTAATGCTGACTTCTCACTGCCCACGCTAAACTCGGGGAGCAGACGTTAGGTCTCACGGGTCCTCCCATGAGTTTGCCCATCCTTGCAATGGGATAACAATACGAGGGTGGGTGGAGAATTAAGTGAGCTCGTGTGGCACGTGCTTAGAACAGTGCCCAGCTCGTTGTAAGTGCTCAGCTCTTTGTTGAATTGAACTAAACGACGGGAGACCAGCAGCCCTGTGTGGGTGGAGACAAGATGTCAGTCTCTGGCCTCTGAGGGTGGGGCTGTCATCCTCTTCTCAGGCCAGAGACTCCTGGACCCCCCATCCCCGCCCCCTACTTTTGGAGTTTCTTCCAAGGGTTTCATAGCCTCAGAGGAAGGGGCTCGGTCGGCCAAGTGCCCCTGCCACACACAGGCTTGGGCAAAGCTAGAGCACCTGCTTCTGTGTGAGCATCCCTGGCTCCGGCTTTGGTGGGAGCACAGAGAGAGCCCCTCCAAACTGAGTGAACCTTGGTCTAATTCTGAGCACCAGTCTTGTTCCAGGTTCTGTTACATACATCTTTATCTTTAATCCTTACTGTAACCCACGAAATGTCCACTACTGTCATCTGCCCCCACTTTATTCATGAGGAAACGGACGAGGGCAGGGTCATTCACCCAAGGTCACTTACTCACAGCTAGTTAGTGGCAGAGCCAGGATTTGAACCCAGGCAGTCTGACTCCAAGTCCAATGCTCTTTCCACTAAAAGGAGCCATGGGGAAATTCATGGGGGGCAGCAGGGTCCCCCAGCCCTCCTCCCAAGGCAACCCACCAGCCCTGCCACCTGCTTACCTGGAGGTGGGGATGCAGACCAGGAAGGCAGAGCGGGAGCCCCATGCCTGCCTGACTCCATTGCCCGGTGGTGCCTCAGGATGCAGAGGGTGAGCCAGGCCTCAAAGGCCTGCAGAGGGGCTTTGCCCACTGGGCTCCTTCAGGATTGGCTCCCTGAGCCAGAAAGGGGCAGGGGCTGGGTGCTGAGGGCACAGCCAGCCTGGGGGGCAGCCCTTCCATACTGCTCATGCCCAGATGGCTCAAGCCCATCCTCTGCCCAGCAGACAGCGCTGTCCACCCATCTGGTGCCTGTCTGCTCCCCCTGACCAGGGAGACAAAGCACCACCAGGCCTGAAGCAAGGCCAGAAATCGGTGGCAGCCAGCATGGAGCCCTCTGTGGGCCAAGGAGAACCAGACAAGACAGGTGAGCCTGTGTGTGCATTAGAGGTTGCCCTCCCACAGCAGAGGCCCTCCTGCCCCGATATGACTGGGCAGAGGAAGAGATTCCCAGACCCGCCCCCCCCCAGGTCCGACTCCCCAAGCAGAGTCCTCTGGGGGTAGAGACAGCAAGTCCACCCCCAAGCTCCCAAGAAAGGGTAAAGAGAAAATAAGTGCAGCAGGACAGCAGCAAGGACAAAAGTTAGAGTGAAGGAAGAACTTCCCAATGCTGAAAGACGCAGAGCCAAGGAAGGGCATGGATTTCTTCCATTCCAAGCTCCCTGACCAGAGGGGGCAAGATAGGATCACAGGTCGAAGGGTGGTTGTAAACGAGCCTTCCCCCTGGGGTGTCCTGGCCTCCAGTACAAGGCATAGATTCTAGTGGGAGAAATGGAGTGCCTGTCTGACACAAGCAGCAGACTAGGACATACGGGGGCAGGGGCTAGGCAAGGGCTCAGGACAAAGTCACATTTTGAGTTGGACCTAAAGTCATTTAGTGAGCAAGATCCAAACTCCAATCTTGGACCAAGACAAAACCCAGGCTTCGGGCCAGACCTGAACTCTGGCCGCAGATGGGAACAAAATACCCAGGCCACCATGGGCTGACTCAGAATCAAGCCTGTAAGAAAAGCAGACCCAAGGGGCCACCGGATACCAGCTGCTGGAGTCTCAGAGACAGAAGAAAGGGTTATGCTCCTGCCCTTGGGGTGGGGGAGGGGTGAGTCCATGTAGGTGAGGCTGTGGAAGCGATGGGGACCAGGGTAGTGACTGGTGTTTTAGCGGGTTAGTGTGAGAGGTGAGGAGAGGAAGGTGTGGAGGCACAGGCAGAGAGAGCGCCATGAGAGGTGGGGGCAGCCCGTTACCTTCCATGTGGGGCCTGGGGCTGAGCCCCCAGGGGACCCCAAGTCCTGGGGGGACAGCAAGGTGGGAATCAGCTGGCGGCAGGGCGTGGGGGGGAGGGAAGACACTGAGCTTCTCTCAAACACCTGGGGAGCAGAAGGTGGGGGCAGATTTGGAGGAGGGGCACAGGGAGGACAATGGGTTACGGCTTATGGCTTAGGCACCCACGGGGAGGGGTGGCCTGGGCTGGCATTGGGATCCCAGCCTCACTCCTCGGCCCCTCACCATGGCCACTGGCCACTCCACCCTCCAGTTTGCCTCCTCCTCCAGAGGTCCTATAAGTCTGGGGTCTCCAGCCACTCAGGGAGGAGGGCTGAGAACACTTGAGTACGGGTGACACGGGAGGGGCTCAAGGCACTTGGGTATGAGGGCATTAAATGTTTGCGGAATATTTGAGGGTGGAGGGGCGTCTCAGAGCACAGAGGGTCTTAAGGTAGTTGGGGTGCAGGGGATGTCTCAGAGACTACAACAAAAAAATTCACACCTGCCAGGAGGGACTTTAGACCCCTCCCCCATTTTACAGTGGAGAAGGGATCGAAGCAAGAGGAGGGGGTCCTGACCAGGCCAGCGCTCAGCAGGGAGCCCAAGAGTCCAGCCACCTGCTATGGGGTCAGCTTGGCAAGGAAAAGGAGCAGGGCCTAGCTGATGACTCAGGGGCCAGGGGTGCTCCTGACCTACCTCTAGTTCTGCGATGATGCGGTCCTCATCGTCCTCGTCCTTGATGGCCGAGGCCATGATGGGTGGTGTGGAGGCCGGGCGAGCCACCTCAGACACAGTCCGGCGCAGCTTCACCTGGGGCTTCTGTACCTCCAGCTCCTCAGACTCGGCCTTCTGCAAGGCCCGGGCCTCCATCAAGGCCAGGCTCTCTCCCCCACCACTACCAGCTCACCTCCTCGGCTCTATGGGTTCCAGACCATCTCTCACCTGCCCCAGCTCATCTGCCACTTCCTCTCTCCCCTCCCCTATGGCCCCTTCCCCTGGTGGAAGTCCAAGCCAGTAGTCACCATTGGCCAGCCCCCTTCTTTCCTTCTACTTCCTCTGAGAGAGGGGACCGCCCTAGAGGGTCTCCAGAGGTCGTCTCAAGCATCCCCCCAACTCAACCTCCTCGTCTCCTGCCCAAGGTGGGACTGGTACCTTGATGAAAGCTGAGTCCTTCTTGCTGGTGACCACAACCTCTCCGGTGCGTGTGGTGGTCAGGCCATGGGAGGAGGGGAAGCTCCGGCGGGGAGGGGGCGGTGGGGGCGACTTGGAGGGCTTCTCCGTGCGGTATCGGGGCACTGTCAGCTCATCTGCGGGCAGCCAAGGGGTGGGGGGTCAGGGGACCTATAACCCTGGAGTCCATGTGCCACATCTGATTCCAAGGGGATAAACCTTGCTTCCTCCTCCGGGGAAGAGGGAAGAGGAAGGTTCAGGGGGAAAGACACAGGCTCCCTCCTCCTTCTCTCTTACCTCCCCATGCAATCCAGCTCCAAACCCTGTCACTCCTCCCCTTACAGCACTCTCACCCCTTACTATTCAAAGTGTGGTCCACGGACCAGCAGCATTGGCAGCACCCGGGGGCTTGTTAGAACTGGAGAAGCTCAGGCCCCACCCAGAGCTGTTGGATCAGAATCCACATTTTGACAGATTCCCCTGATGATTCAGGCACACATTCAAGTTTGGGAAGTGCTACTCTGATCTGGTTTTTTTCCACCTGCCCCTCAGCCCCTGCCCAGGCACTGATCTTCATCCATTCTCCATCAGGAGAGGACAATAACTATTCCAAGAGCCTGACCCCGCCCACCAGGCTCCCCCTTCCCCCAATTCTTCCAGGGCTGGGGGCTGTTTCCAGGGCAACCTGTAGAAAAATCACTGAAACCTGACACTCCTCTGCCTTTGATCCCCCGGTGGCTCCCCATTACCCCAAACCACATCCGAGCTTCTTGGCCCAGCACCCTCCACATCTACCAATCTTTCAGCCTCAGCTCTGTTTGCTACTCCCTGAGCTGGACCCTGCTGGACAACACCAAACACACACGTCCAGGCATTTGCACATGCTGCTCTCTCTCGGTGAAATGCCCTCTCTCACCAGCCTGGAAAGCATCTCCTCATTTGCAAGACTCCAATGGAAAGTGCCCTCCAATGGGAAACCCTTCCTGCCTTCCCAGAGCAGGACTAGGGCTGCACAACACGAGACCTCACCTCCCAGCTGCATTTAGCACCTCATCCTATTTCTGGTTTACATACTAGCTGTGGCCTGGTGCAGATTACGTAACCAAGTTGAGCTTAGGGTCCTCATCTATAGAATGGGAATAACTACAGTATCTGCCTTCTGGAGTTGTTACAAAATTATAACGATTAATATATAGAAAGCATTTGGGGCAGTTCTTGTCACAAAGTAAGTATGCACTTGATAAACGTTCATGTTATATTATTCCTCCACTCTATTTTGAGCTCCTTAAAAGCAAATGATACCTTATCTCCTTAGCCCCAGCACCCAGCACACAGTAGGTGCTTAAACACCTATGTGTGGCAGGAATGAATAAAGGAACGGACGATGGCTGCCATTTCTGGTTCAGATTTCTGCCACCCCTGTGAGCTCACAGGCTTGGGGAGCACCGGAAGCATGTCCACATGGATCAGCGCTGCACCTCGTGTGAGCACAGCCTGGTTCAGGGCGCGTGCTCGGGCAGAAGGTACAGGCAGATGACTCTCTGCCTGGACTTGCTCATCTTCCCTGCGTGGTCCTCTTAGCAGCAGAGCAGTGGGAACAGCCCTGGATGGAGTTCAGCTCTAACCCAGCCTCTGGGTCTCCTTTTGGTGGCTGAGGGTCAGGCTGCTGATGTCCCAGCCCCTCCTTTCTCCAGCAGCCTGACCACAAAGATTCTCACTCCCACGTGCCGCCCCCATCAACCTGAGAGCTCCTGAAGATGGGGCTCCCCTCCTCTGGGCTGTTCACCCGCCTCCTATCTGCCCCCATACCTGAGCCCCTCCTCCCACTGGGCTCCGTTCGGGGGGCTGCCTTCTGGCCATGGGGGATCTTGGGGGGCTTGTGGTCAGGGGTGGGGGCCGGGCCTGGGTGGGCCTTGCTCGCACAGTCCAGGTCAGGAATGGCCTTCAGCAGCTCCGCCTGTGTCTCCTCCAGCAGCCGGTTGATGTCCTTGGCGCTGTACTGGGTCAGGGCCGCCCGCTTCTCCTCCCAGTCTCGCTCGGCCGCCTTGAGAGGAAGGGGCGAGAGTCAGGACTACAGTGGCTGCCCTGCTCCTGGACCTTTGGGGCCTCAGCCCCTTCCCCCAGCCCCACATGGAAGGCCCCCGGAGGACGCTTGGACTTCTTGAATGTCACGTGCTTTCTCCATGAGTCTGGAAGAACACCTTCTTTATATACTACTCTCTTGATAGACTTAGACCTGTTTTTGGACAGTCTCTTGTTTCATTGGCCACATAGTCTATTCTTGTGGTAACATAACACTGCCTTCATTATTATAGCTTTATAGTATGCTTTTCTATCTACCAAGATGACTGTCACCCTCAGCATGCTTCTCAGACATCCTCCTCCCCCAGGAACAAGTCCCCATGCCGTGTCGGCACTTCCCAACCTAGGATGGTGGTAAGAACCTATGAGCCTAGGTTGGGCCCCTCAATCCCAGGCCCAGCACCTCGACAGACACAGCCTTGTCCACGCTTCTCTTGCCAGGAGCGTCCAGGCCTTTGGTGGGGTTGCCCCCCTTGGGCGTAGCAGGAGCTCCCTCAGCTGGCCCACTCAGCTCATGGAGGTTCAGCGGAGGGCTGGGGGGTGGCATTTCGAAGTCCAAGCTCTTATTGAAGTCAGCCTCGGCTGTCACCTTCTTGGGGGACTGATTCAGGAGGTTGTTGGGGGGTGGCCAGCCACCTTCGTCCACTTGCCTGGAGTTGGGAGAGTTAGGAACCGCTGTGAGCCCAGCAGCACGGTGACCCCCATGCAAGGGCAGCCTGGCCCGCGGGAAGCAGGGCATGAGGAGGGCTCTGGGATCTTGCAGGACAGAGTGAAGGGCCTGAGAAATGACCGCATCTAGCATAAGGGACAGCCAAGCCTACAACATGTGAGGAGGTCCCAAGTCAGAACTGGGTACAGCTCTGGTTGGCACATTAGTGACCTTTGGGGGAGTCAGGATAAGGGGTGAGGCTGAGCTGTCAATCTGGGCCCAGTGTGTAACCCGAGGGGAAGTCAGAGGTCAGAGATAAGCGGTCAGGGATAGAATGACCTTCGGAGCTGAGCCAGCGTGTCTGTGACCCCACGGCAGCGTTTGAGTAGCCCGTCCAGGCGCTGTGGCTCCTCTTTCAGGAACTTCACGGCCTCCACCTCCACGCGAAGCACTACCCGCATCTTGCTCTGCAGGGCTGGGAAGTGCGCTGAGGAGACCAAAAGGAGGGAGCTGGGGAGGGTGAAGCTCCGAGGACCGATAGGATGGGCAGCAGAGAGGGCAGTGCCTGGGGTTGGGAACAGGGATGCAGCGGGGACTCCCACCTGGACCACACGCCACACGCACTGGCCCCCAGGCTCACCCTTGAGCTCAGTCAGCGTCTCCCCAAGCTGCTTCAATACCAGCGCCTTCTCTTCCAGCTCAGGCCCAGGCACCAGCCTGTGGTTATGGGACACATCCCTCTGGATCTTCTCCACTGACTTCTCCAAGTCACTGCAGCCACAGAGAGACCCTCTCAGCCCTCTCTGGCCCCAGCCCAGCCCCCTGAAATTGGGCAGCTGGAAAGAAATCAGGTCACCAGTCAGATAAAAATTAAAAGCCATTTACCAGACCACATGCCCAAGTGAAATCAGAAATCAGAAATGCCAAACCTCAGAGATGAGACTTTGGAAGAGCTCGCTAACAGTGGCCCGCGGTCCTCCCTTTGAAGTTCTGATGTTTAGCCACATCAGCCCAAATCTCCCTCCCTATAACTTGCATCTTCTGATTCTTATTCTGCTAAGGCAGCGGCAGGTAACTTGGCAGCCTTTCAAAGAGCTGGAGGCAGCTGCACGCGCCTCTAAGGGGTCTCTTCTCTTGCAGGGTGTCACTGCCACGTCCACCTACCTTTTCTCAAATGATCCAGACACTTGGCCTCTTTCTTTGAGGACAAAACTGCTTTTGATTTTCAGCTGGCTTATGCTAAGCTCATGTCATTTAAAACCCCACATCTCTCTAAAGTAAATCAGACCAAGTCGCCAGCCCATGTTGAACCCTAAATGGATCCCATCATTCTGAGGCTAAAATCCAAACTCTTCAATGCAGCCAAGAAGGGTATGAGGGTAGTAGTTGAAAATTTGGTTCCAGAGTCAGACAGATCCAAATTCCAATCCCAGCTCTGCCCATCTCAGCAGGGAGATCTTGGGACAAGTTACCTAATATCTCCAGGCCTCAACCTCTTCATCTAAAATATTGGGATGGCAAGAGTTCCTCCCTCCTGGGGCCGCTGTGAGGATTAAATGAGCTAATGCAGATGGGAAAGGGGTATCAAGGGATCAGGGCCTGGGGGCTGCTCGTATTTTTCCTCCAGCCACAACCCCTGTCCTCATCTGACTTGCTTCTGTTTAGAATCATCCAAAATTTCTCTGAGGTCCTTGTGTGTGCTGCCTTCTCTGGGCCTTTTACATACCATTTTCTCTGCCTAGAATACTCCATTCACACACACACACACACACACACACACACACACACACACACACACGTGTGCGCATGTATGACTAATTTCCACTTGTCCTCAGGTCTCAATGAGAACCTCTCCTCTACTCCCTACACTTGGGGTTAGGGGTCTGCTTCCTGCTCCCCCAAACCCCTGGAGCTCCTGATTGCTGGGCTGTGCAGCTTCAGGCAAGCAGAGGCCATGTCTTCAGGATTCATCTCCAATGCTGAGCACCTGGCACAGTGCCTGGAGCAGAATAGATGTCTGGTAAATAACTGTGGGATGAATGAATAAGTAAAAGAAGGAACTGGCGCCCTGGTAGTTCATCTCCTTTCTGTACTGGAGTCGCTGACATCTCTGACCCACACGCAGGACTTTACATACATTCCTGTCAAACCCCATCTGTTGGATTTCAGTTCAAGTATCCAGGTGGGAACAACGTCTGAGTCTCAGTTCTACCATCCAACAGATTTGCTCACCCTCAAAGCTCTGTGTCATCAGCAAACCTTACCAGCATGCCTTATATATCTTTATCCAACTAGCAGGTAAAAAGACCATGTTGGAGCCAAGGATAAAATCCTGTGACTCAGCACTACCAGTCAAAGAGCTATCATGTTCTAAGCATTTACTGTATGCCAGGTTCTACATTCAGCCTTTCACTTTCATTACCTTATTTAATCCTCACAAATCCTGAGTGGGACCATTATACCACCAGTTTACACACAGACAAACAGCAGCTCAGACACCAGACTACATTTCACAGCATCCCTTGCAGTTAGAAGTGGCCATTCAACTGAGGTCTAGCCAATGGAATATGAGTGGAAGGGGTACATGCTGTTTCCAGGCCTGGCCCATAAAAACATCCCATGTAAGCTCTTCAAAACTCTTTTCCCCTTCCTGCTGGTTGAAAGGCAGTGACCCTGTGGGTTATCTTGGAAGGCACATATTGAAGAAGGCAAAACCTCCTCTACCTGGGTCCCTGAATGACTGCATAGAGGAGGGCAATTCCACTAACCCACCCAATATTGTCTCATAAGAAAGACATGTCTATTACTTCTGAACCATTATTACTTCTGAACCATTATAGAATTTGTTAGAGTAGCTACCCTAACTAATTAATTAGCTACCTTAACAAATAAACCGGCTTTGTCATTAAAAAGAAAAAAGAAAAAAAAAGAGGCTCAGAAAGATTAAGTAACTTGTCCAAGGTCATACAACTATTTTGTGGCAAAGCAAGATCTACTCATGTCTGATTTCAGCCACTGGATTACATTGCATCTCACTCCCACACTAGACTAACATCACCCCACAGCCATCCACTATCCCACTCAACCCTCATTCTGCCATATGGGAAAGAACAACTCTCCTCCACTGTATGTGTCACCTGACTGGCTCAGGGCATGCCAGTTTTGTAAGCCTTTAGGAAGTGACAACACTGGAACTCTCAGGTAGAAGGGACTAGGCCCCCCTTTAGGCTCAATTAGAACCCTGGTTTTCTGATCATGCAATCTGCCTAACGTGGGCAGGCTCTGCAAGTGAGTCCCAGAAAAACCCAAGTCTAGACTCTGGGACCAGAAAGTAGTTGGGTTTTCCAGACCCAGATTTAGTCCTGGAGGAGTTAAGAGGGGGGAGAGTCAGGACAAAACCAGCTATATAATATGTGGGGCCCATTGCCAAATGAAGATTTCCCCCCTAGTTAAAAAATTAGGAATTTCAAGAGAACAATAGCAGAGCATTATAAACCAAGCACGGACCCTTACGAGCATGGGGTCCCATGTGACTGCATAGGTCACATGCCTACAAAGCTGGCCTTGGGTTAGGCCAAATTAGGCTCCAGAGGCCAAAAGGACTCAGTCAACCAGCAGAGGCTGCAATGTCTACACAGAGCTCAAGTGTTTGGCTAGGATAGGTGAGTGAGCCAAACTGATTAAAGCACAGTATTGGCCTTAACTTCCGGCAAGATGTCAGGGCAAGAGGAAGGGGCAGAGTGAAGCTGAGCAAGAGCAAATGTACAGGGGCTGCAGCCAGAACAGGGGTAAGGAGGGGCCTGCTGGTTCATCTAATGCCCAGGGAGGATATGGGGGCTCGGCAGAGAGGGCCCTCAAGGCCAAGCTGAAGCTACGGCAGGGCTGGTGTGGAACACACCCCACCCCAAAAAGGCAGAAGCCCCCTTCAAAGTGGATAGATAATCCCGCCAGAAGCAATCGATCAGACCCTAAACTCTCTCAAGTGAGCAGTCTCATAGAAGGGCAGGAAGTCGGGAGTCTGTGTGTTCCTGGAGAACCAAGGTCCCCAGGAAGCTGAGGACCAGACACTCATGTGACAGGAGCATAAATCCGTCCTTTTATTTTTTTCGGCCTCTGTGCTTTTATATTTCCTTTCATTTTCCTTTAATGTCTCAATAAATTTCCTTTTGAAAATTCCAACCCAGCTCCTTTGTGCTAAGCGAAAAGGGGCAAGGGGAGGACAGGAAAGTCAGGTAGTAGAATTCCTTGGATGACGGGGCATGGCAGTTGCCAGTCTACCTGGAGATCTGACTAGAGTTGTCACTAAGCTTTTACACCTGGAGTGATGGGTGGCTGCCACCAGCTTATTTCCAAGTGGGATGACCCCGTATTTCATCTCAGCCTCACGGGGTCATGGGGATCTTTGCTGTGTGTCTCACTGAAATGCATGGTTGCCATCAAGCTGCATGGGCCCAAGCCCTTCTCAAGGAGCCCTTTGCAAGAGGTACAACCAAATGACTTGGTGGGGAAGATGGCTCCTGTGAGCAGCCTCTCCTGACTCCCTGAGTCAATGACCAATTGAACCCAACCCCTCTCTGGAAAGAACTGCAAAAATCTTAATACTGGGCACAGAGGAGGAGGCCACAGTGCGGAGAAGGGCAGAAACTGTCCTTATCACATAGACTCTCAGGGCTAGAGCTGGTTCTCAGGTCCCCTTTGTGTCCTGTGCCACTAGGAGAGAGGCCAGAGGAAGGAGCAGGGTCTCTGTCTCAGACCCCAATGACTGATAAGAGAAGACTGCAGTGAGGTAGGGGTGCTCACTCAGTGGATGGACAGAGAAAGGCAGCTTCTTCCTTCAACAGTGCCAGACAATCGAATGCTGGCCAGACAGCCATTTGCTAAATTTGGATCAGAGGGCCATCTTCTGTTAACCCTTCCATGTCTAAGCATTTGGAGGTGGGGTGTTCTCTATTCCTCATTCCTTCTGAAAACGCTAGATCTGCACTAGAATTGGAGGAGGGTTTTTCCTTGGCTATACCTGGTCTCAGACATCAGGGAACTGTGGCCGGTCAGCACCAAGCTGACCAAGCTGGCAACACCTGAATACTCCACCTGAATATTCTACCTGACGGTCAGTTTACACAGGTCACAGGCCAGAATGAAAGCAGACAGAGGGCAGAGTGAAATCAGGCAGCTGACCATATGAGAGTAAGGCTTCAGGCCATGGGGAAGCCAGACTGTGGACCATTAGGAAGCAAGACCATAGCAAAAGAAGGCATCAAGCCAGAAACAAAGAAATCAGGAATTGTGCCAGATGGTCAAAGGTTTGTGGGTCACAGAGAAATCAGGCCACGCAGGAGAAGGCAATCAGGCTTCAGAAGAGACCAACGTCACCTGTGATTCAGAAGGAAGAAGAGGTGCGCCTCCCAGTGAAACCAGGTTGCAGGCCACCCAGGCCGCACCCCTAGCCCTCCCTCGGCAGCTGGGCCCAGCCTCACTTGAGTTGCTGGGTAATGAGCTCCTCGTCGTTGAGGTAGCGCAGCCGCTCCTCCTCCACCAGGGTGCGCTGTCGCTGCAGCGGGTCCTCATGCCGCCGTGCCGCCTCCGACACGCGCATGCTCAGCTCCGCTTCTGTGCCCTTCAGCAGCGCGCGCAAAGACTCCAGGTTCTGTAGCTGCGGGACGCAGATGGATAGATGGACAGGGGTGGGAGGGGGTGGAGGCAAGCAGCAGGGAAAGGGCCGGGAGGAGGCGGACAGAGGACAGCCCGATGCCGGGCGGGCTCCACAGCAGATGCGGCTGCTCGGTTGCGGCTGTGTGCAGCAGTGAAAGGGTGGGATGGTGGGGGGCAGAGGCCAAGAGCTAAATTCTGGAGAATAAAGGCAGGAGGAGAACGGTATGGGGATAGTGGAGGAAGGAGTGCTGAGTTGGACCATGCTGAAGGTGCGGCTGCATGACTATGAACAAGAGCAGCAGCGAAGGGCTGTGAGATGGGGGGGGGGGGGCGGAGAAGCTTACGTGCTGAAATACTGAGGAAGGAGAACGGGGTGGGAATATTTGGGGGGCAGGGAGTGATCCTATGTAGGGCCCTGCCGACCATGCGGCTACATTGGACTCAAGCACTGGGGTTTGATAGAGTTTCTGTGGCTGGGACGGGAAGACTAACTTAATGCTGCTCGAACCCAGTTCTAAGGCCGAGTTGGGGCAATGGTTGGGGGTAGGCGAGATCTTACCCGTTGCCCAGATGGCAACTCTCTGCCCCTCTACAGCCTGTCTCTGCTCATTATTCTCACCTGACGGGCCTGGAGAAGCACGCACAGCGATGCCAGGCTCCTGACTGGTAGGACCATCTGCCAGGTGGGGCAAGGCAGGGTAGCTGAGGGGAAGGGGGAGCTAAGGGGATCTGGGGGAAGGGCTCTAGCCCAAGGTAGGGGAGAGGGGAAAGGAATGCTGAGCTGGAAGGAACTGGGACCCCAGAGTACTGACCGGGGGAGGAGGTTCAGTGAGGTGGAATGAGGCTCCAGGAGAAGAGTGAGGATTCAGGGAAGGGGGAAGGAGGGCTTTGTGAAGAGGACACGGGGAAAGGTAGGAGTTTGGTGAGAGCTCAGAAATTCAGCGAAGGGGCAGAAGGACAGGAAAGGGGAGAAAGCGTTCGGAGACGGGCCCAGGAAGCAGCGGACTCGGATCAGCGATTAGGCAATGGGGCGGATCTTTTGGGAAGAGGCTTCGGGGCAAGTAGGTGGGTTCTGGTGGGGCGGGGCTTGAGGGGGCGGGGCACGGAAAGAGGCCCCAGAGCCGGCGGTACCTGGAGCTTCCGCAATTGCTGAAGCTGGCCTCGCAGGTCACTAGTGCTGTTCTGCAGGCCACGCAGGTGCAGCTGCATCTGCAAACGGCTGATGGCAGTGGACTGTCCCGCAGGGGTACTGCTGGCTGAGGGTGGAGGAGGGCCGGACACAGGGGTGGCCCCGCTGCTCCGGCCGCCTGACCCACAGACTGCAGAGGGACAGCGAGGATGGGAGAAGAACAACTCGTGAGCCTGGGAGAGGCTGGGGCAAGGTCCTCCCCACACAGCAGCCAGAGAGGCACGTGGCTCTCACTCCCTGCCCCAAATGATGGGGAGCCCTACTGTAGGGAGCAAAGTGACAGGACAAAGACATCTTGGGCTAAGGTGATATTACTCATCTATCCTTTAAAGCCTGGTGATATAGCTATTGTTTAATTCCCACTTTACTGATTAGGACTCTGAGGCTCCCAGGGGTTAAGGACCTGTAGGGAGGAGGGAAGGGTCACTCACGTGCTGAAGGAGTGGCTGCTCCATTGGAGCCTTCAATCTTCTCGCTGTGGCACAGGGGAAAGATGGCTATCAGAGGGTCCAGGCTGGCCCCAGACAGCCAAAGCTGGGTGAGACCTTACCATAATCTCCTCCAATCCCCTGATATCAGGATGGCATCCCAGAGAAGGGAAGGGCCTCCCCCAGAGTCACATGGTGAGACACTGGCAGAGCTGAGCCCAGGGCTTCTGCTGCCCACTTCCCTCTCATCTTGCCCCAACCACAGGCCCTGGCAGTGGTGTTGGGAGAAGTGCCTCACCTGGGGGTCTCAGGCTCCGAACCTCGTAGTAGGGCACTCTGCACCAGGCCTGTGAGGCTGGCAATCTGCTTCTCCATGGCCTCCATGCGCTCCCTGGGGAGGATGGCGGCTTTGAGCAACCCCTTCTCTGGGCATGGGGTCGCTCCTTCCCAGCCCCCCATTCCAAAGATTGGTAATTAGAGGAAATACCATTCCCTTCCCAGTCACCAGCACACAGACAATTCAAAGAGCTCCACCCCCTAAGGATCAAGTCCACAGGCCCCTCCACCCCACCCCACCCCCGTATAACACTGGTAAGTCCCTTCTCCATCTGACAGTCACCCCCTCCCTCTGCAGCCTCATCTCTCTTCACTAATGAGATGGGTCCCACTCTGGCCTCTGTGCCTCCACACTCTTTCCCCTTGCCTGGTATGCCCTCCTTCCTACGTCCTCTCTGAAGCCATCCCAGAGTCCCCAGCAGCCTTGAGGAATCCCTGTACACCCTCTGAAGGGAAGTATTTTTTTAATGTGTCTCCCCCACTAATTAGGGGAGGAACTGGGTTTGCCCAACTTGGCACTGGCACAAGTACCCAATGCACTTCCTGGCACACAGACCACAAGAGAGCTGTGTGAATGTAAATCACTTCTCACCTCTCAGCAGAGCTGCTTGAGAGCAGAGAGGGACAGGTTGGTGCCCTGGTTACCTCTTCCAGCCCTGCACCCTTAGGAGAGAGCTGAATGATTGGCAAGAGTTCTCCAGATAGGAGGCTACCGAACTGAATGTGCCTCTCTCCCCATCCCTTGTTCTTACCAGCACCCCCTCCCCAGTGGACTTCAGCTGCCCCTGTGCTGGACAGCTCTCATGGATGCAAATTCTGTGTCTCAGCGAGAAAGGCGCTGAAGAGTGCTGGTTCAGTTTCAATTTTAGTTAGGGAAATTGAGGTTCAGGGAATGGATGCAAATCCAGGTTTGCAGATTCCTTGTCTAGGGACCCCTCAGATATTGCAGACAGAAGGAAAATCACATGTCCGTCTCTCCAGTGCTTTCCCTGCCGCGTTCAAGATACTTTGGAGACCCCTCAAGACTACTCCAGGTCTACAAAGGACTCCTGGGTCTCAGAATCCAGGACACAATCCTACAACGGACTCTGCGATGCCGCCTCTCCACTCCATTCCCACGGCCCTGAGGCCTTGAGAGAGTTCCTCACCTGGTCTCCGTGTCCTTGGCTGGCACAGGCGGCCCGAATCCAACGAGCGGGCGCTCTCCAGGCCCTGGGAAGAGCTCGGAAGGCGGGGCTCCGGCCGTCGAGGAGCCACCAGCGCTTCGGGTCTTGCCTCCGGGGCTCTCTGCGAAGACGGACGAAGAGCCCGAGTCTTTGCGGAAGGACTGGCGCACCGGCGAGCCGCGGCTGGGTGGCCCTGAGTAGGGGCTGTGTGGCGGCGGGGGACCTCCGGGTGGTGCTGCCACGTCTGCCAGCTTCTGAGGCGACGAGGGCGGCAGGCGGAAGCCGTAGCTGTCGCCATAGAGCGGGCCGCCTCCCGCCGCCTTGTACAGGGAGTCCTCCAGGTCGGACTGCAGCGCGGCAGCCGAGTAAGTGCTGAGCGAGCGCACTGAGCCGCGCTTGTAGAGGCCTCCAGCACCCGGGTAGGCGAAAGGGTCGCCAGCGGCCGCCGCCAAACTCAGCCGGCCCTCATGGAGCAGCCCGTAGGGGTCCGCGTATAGGCCTTCGCCTTTCACCAGCACCATGCCGCCTGCCTTGCCCGCCAGGTCCTCGTCCGGCTTCACGTCGCGCCGCTCCAGGATGGCGCTGGGACTGGGGCTGACTCCCTGGGCGGCGGGGGCGCCTCCCAGCCGCTCCGCCGCATGGTGCACCGGACTGCCAGCGTAGGAGGGCGGACGCCCCCCGGCATAAGAGAGGCGCGAACGCGATGGCGAGCCGGAAGGCAGCCCAGACGGCAGCCCCGGTGGCGGTGAGCCCGACGCCAGGTGCGGCGCAGGTGACAGGTTATTGAGGCGCCGCGTGGGCGACGACTCCCGCGATGCATACACCATCTCTCTCTGTGTAGAAAACAGTCCGGGAACCCCACAAGGCTGGTTACAAAGGGGGTCCCTTGCCCCTTGCTTGAGGAGTTAGCATCCCCCCTCCCCCCGCTTATACTTAGGAAGTCCCTTCTGTTCTCTGCCTACCCTCGCTCCTGCTGCATTTGGGTCCCTCTCCCATCAGGGATCCCAGAATGGAGGAAGAAGTGACAGATGGAGAGGCACCAGAAGGGCAACCCGCAGCCCACCTATGGTGAGGGGTAGAGAAGCCAAAGGGGAAGGGAGTGGCTCCCGAGAGAAGCCGTCTAGAATAGCAGAGGCACGTTGGAGAAATCCTGAGCGGACTGGAAGGGCAAGTGGCAGGTAAGGGGGGAGGGACTCTTCCAAGACGCCACAATAAATGGAAGCCTCCTCTGCTGCAGCCTGTGTCCTCTTCTCCAAAGCTGTAGTCCCTGGTGACAACTGACTAGACTGTGCTCCCGGACCCCATCTGCCCAGCCTTCCCAATGCCCTGGGCATCCCCAGCCATACCCGGAGGTCCCCGTTGGTGAGGTGTGAGCCAGGGAAAGCGGCGTAGAGGGGCTCCTTCCTATAGATCTTGATAATACTGCGGTCCTGGATGTCCCTGGAGGGGCGTGGGGAGGTTCAGAGGGTCACCACCTCCCAGCCCTGTGTTGAGGATGGGCAGCCACTCCAGGCAGAGGGAAGAGGGGTGGCAAGAGGGGCCAGGGGCCCCAACCCCTTCCTAATTCTGCTCAGTGGATCTCGTGCCTCAGGGTGCCTGCCACCAACACACACACCCAGCAGCCTCCACCCCGTCCACTTCCTCGGCCTCATGCACCAGTTTCAGGTTAGCTCGACTCAAGGAGAACCAGCGGGGGCTGGGGGCGGGGGGGGGCAAGATTTAGAATGAAAGGGGTAGGGGCTGGGAAGAACGAGGAAGGGTACGAGGTGGTAGGGCTCTGGGAGGAGAGGGGGAAGAGCTGGGGTTGACTCCGGAGGGGGCTGAGGAATGGCCTGCGAAGTCGAGCCCCTCTAGGAGGAGGAGTAAGCGGAAGCCCACCCTTCCCCCGGGGCCACGCCCACCGGACGTCCTCCAGCTCGTAGAAGACGTTGCGAGCCTCGTCTTTGATGAGGATGGCGGTGTTGGGCGACTTAAGCATGCCCATGGTGAGCTTCTGCGGGAACATGTGCGCGATGAGTGCATGCAGCGTGTCCAGGCTGCTGACCTCGTGCGTGATGTGCACGCGCCGAGTCTCCTCCCCGAACTGCAGGAACAGCACCCCTGTGAAGGAGAGGCCACCCTCGCTGTCAGTGCCACCACCACCACCAGGCCGCCGTCCGGGAGAGCGAGGGGGGCCTTCAGGAGCCGCGCTGGTCCCACAGAGACAAGGTCTGAGGCCGGACGCTGCCCCAGAGTGCAGGTGCACCCAGGCACTCCTCATGCTGCTTGGCCTCTCAAGGCACCTCCTCAACCTCAGGCAGCTTGGAGTTGAGGGGTGGAATTGGGGGGTGGAACAAGTGGGACAGAAACTGAGGGGAAGAAGGGGGAGAAGGAAAGGGGGACTGTTGAAGAGGGGCAGAGAGAGGGCTAAGGGAGAGGGGAGGCTTGGAGAGAGAAGAGGATAGGTCAGGGGATGCGGAGGAAGAGAAAGGGTCGAGAGCAAAGATGGGAAGGGCTGGGAAGAGAAGCTGAGGAGGGAGAGGCCCTAAGGGGAGGAGACTGCTGGGGGGTGGGGAGATGGGGAAGGGAGGGAGAGGCTTGGTAGAAAGATGGTTGAAAAGAGCTGGAGTGGTAAAGGGGATGAAGAGAGTTCCAGGGCAAGCAGAGCAGAGGGAGGAGCCAGTGGCCAGGAGGAGGATGCACACGGGCAGGCAGTACCTGGCGAGCGCAGCTTGGTCTGGCTGGCAGAGCGGGAGAGGGGCAGGCTCTGGCGGAAGCGGTTCATCCTACTGAAGCCCAGAGGCAGCTCAGCTTCCGACATGGTCTCCAGCGACTCAGCTGAAGCGTAGGACAGCTTGGCCGCCTGGTCTGCCAGCCCGGGTTGGGCTCCCTGAGTGTGGCGTGAGCTGCGGGTCTGCAGGAGCAGGGCGGATGAGATGAATTGAGCATGAGCCCCTTTGCTCTGCCCGCTGCCCCCATCCAGGCCTGGGGAGCCCCCACCAGCCAGCGACACACACACAGGAGGGTCTCCTGGATTCCAGACAAGCTGGGTGGCTGCAGGAGAATTCCCAACCTCTTGGGGTCTTGGCCTCCCTAAGACACCCAGCAGGTAAGGAGTGGGTAAAGGACTCAGGCACTCTGGGAAGCCAGACAAGGAACCATCTGAGGGGGAGCTATGGGCAAGCCTGCTATTTTAAGCTTCCAAAGAACAACACAAATTTGTCACCAAGGTGAGCAGCAGAATTGTTGAGCAAATTGGGGCATTAGTTCCAGACATTAATTAAGCGGCGGGTTTGTGAACGATGAATTTATCCTTCATGGAGTTCAGAGGGTTGGGGTAGGGGGCGGAAAGCAGGGACCAGGGAGAAAGCAAAGAGAGCTGGAGCCCCAGGATCCCAGCTCTGGGGGTGGGGGGTGGGGTATGGACCCTCACAGAGCTGGGCACAATGTCCTTGACTTAGGGTGACTGGGAGAACCATCCCAAAGCCAGCTGGGCCCGTTTCAAACAGACTACCTGCCTAGTACATGCAGTGCACATGCTAAGCCTGGTGTGATCCACACACATATATGCCATAAATGACAGGCCTCAGCCCCTCCCTGCAAGGCACATGCTGCCACACAGCCAACCACTAGCCTCCTGGAAAGGCCTCCCCTGGAACCCAACACAACAGCCTCCTGCCCTGAAGCTACAACTGAAGGTGATATCTGGCTGGAGCTAGGGAAAGGTGTCACCCAGTGACCATTCCTTGCCCCAGGGACAGTTTGATTACTCTCTCCTTGGGGAAGGGTTCACCATGATTTCTATTGCACTTTAAGAGCCTACTTTTGGCTGACGGCTACAGCTGTCACTCAGGCCACAGCTTCCTGCCATCCTGCCCCAATCCCTCCCCTCAAACCTGGTTGTTGTCAGAAACTCATTTATTTAAAGGAGACCTATAATGAATCAGATCTACATCATTCCATATTATGTACATTATACACATATATGTATTACATATACATGTATTATCAAGAAAGAAATCACGTTACCCAATTGTATTTTTCTAGAAAATAAATTGCCTATTTTTAACAACAAATCACTCAAAACCATTAACATTGGTTATCTCAGGATTGAGACAGATTTTTAATTTTATGCATTTTTATGCTGGGTGAATTTTACACAACCAGAATATATCACTTTTATAATTTTTTTAAAACAGGAAAAGTACCTCTAAAAAGGAATCATTTATTCTCCTCCCCAGCCCTCTCCTTCCCCAAATCCTGATTAACCTCTAATTAATCTCCATCTTTGTATTAACTCAATTTAATGTTCCAATAGGATTAGCACTCTCAAAAAGAGAATATCTTTCTCTGATGGGCAATGTGCCCAGCCGTCCCCAAAGTGGCCTCAAGCGCTCAGGGATGTGGAAGGCCAGATTTGGGAACCTCAGGGGACATCCAACCTCAAGCACAATACCTTGACCAGTGGGTGGGCATGGGTCTGAGGAAGAGGGAGGCAGTGTAGCAACTGGGGGAACAGAGGGATGCCCGTGCCCAGACTTTGGACCCCCCCAGTTCAGATATAGGCTGACCACCAGTACCAGCCTGTACCCCTCTCTCTCACCTCAGCCCCAAGGCAGTGTGGGGAACCAGGTCTGGTCTGGTGGTCATGGGGTTGCCAGGCAACTGGAAGGTCAATGATTGACAAGCTGGTGTGGATGAGGGGCTACAGAGTTCAGGCAGAATGAGCAGCTAGCAGGGATGAAAAGAAGGGGGTGGCCACAGTGCATGGGGGCACAAGTGAGGTGCCAGTAAGAAGATGGAACAGGGGCCAGAATGTAGGGGGGCGGGGAGCCTAAGGACTGCTGACTGCTGAGAAGGTGGGACTCTACCCAGGGGACCCTGGGGAAAGAGATGTCCATGTTCCCTGCCCTGCCAGTTCCTGTCTCCATCCTGGCCCCAAGGGCACCTTTCTATTCTCACAGCCTTTGTAGAAAACCCTCCTGAGAAGAGAGAAAGCCTGTTAGCACTTCTCTCCATCCTTGGGCTGAGACAACAGGGCAGAGGAAAGTGAGACATCCAGAAGAACTTCCCTATTAGAAGGGAGACGGCAAGAGAGCAAAACAGTCATTCAAACAGGGCTCTCCAAAGATAGGAAAGGGGCTGCCACGGGAAGCAGTGAGCACCTGTCACTGGAGGTGCTCCTGGAGGAGCCATGACTCCTGGTCAAAGATCAGGCAGAGGACACCTTGAGTGGGGGCCATCAGACTAGGATCTGAGGTTCCCAGAAGCTGTCCACAGACGGGCAGAATCACTTGAGAGCTTTTAAAAACACATTGCAGGACCCCCCACTCACTGAATCAGAATCTCTAGGAGTTGGGGCCTGGGATTCAAGATTTTCGACAAGTTCCCAAGGTGACTCTGATTTGGTGATCATGTCAGTGTCCATGATTCTAACAGTGAATGAGGTAAGCTACCCTGCAAAGCTCCCTTTGGGCCAGGCACTGTGCTCGGCACATGCAGTATATCATTTCTGCTCTCTTTACAACAGCGCTGTGATGCAGTTATTGTTGCTCCATTTTACAGAGCAGAAACCAAGGCCCAAGGGATTGGGTAACTTGTCTCAAGTCACCTAGCTAGTTAGTAGCAGACTGGAAGTCACCATAGGTAGTCTGGCTCTTGGGCATTGAACCACTACACTCTACTGCCTCCTCCAAAAATGTTATGGCTGATGCCATGATACTATGATTCCATGATTTTCTGATTCCAGGACTTCTCTCTAGGAGAATGCATATAAACAAGACGTCTGGAGCGAGAGGACACTTGGGGAGTCTGGGATGGGTGCCTACCACCCTCTGTTATGATGCCTGGGCATTGAGGGGCTAGAGACTCCAGGACACCGGGACCAGTCTAACTTGGTTCAGCTCTGGGCCTGGGTGCCAGGGAAGATGGAGAGGGCGCCCAAGGGTGCTCCCCCCGGAGTCTGCAGGATGCCCTTGGAGGGGCAGACAGCTCTCCAGTTGCAGATAATCCAGACCCTCCAGGGGAGGCAGGAGGGCACCCATCCCTGAGCTTAGCCTGGGCAACAGGTGTGGGGTGCAGGGTTGTAAGTCTCCTGCCTGGCACTGACCAGCTCCCCATAGTGGAAAGTAAGAAAGGGATGAGGGGCCCGTCATAGTCACAGGGCCTCTCTAGAAGATGAAATCTGAATTCAGAAAACAGCACCCTCAACAAGATCATGGGGTCCAGGCCCCTGCCTGAGGCAGCGGTCTCTCCAGGCTGGGGAGAAATCAGGCAGCCTCTCTCATTCAAAAATGCCCCTCACGGCCTGGGAAGCCTGAGGATGTCCAGCTCAGATCCCCAGCAGAGGTGGCCCAAGCTCCCACACTGGGTCCACAAGCCCCTGGCAGGCGAACCCAGACTCTCAAAGCAGCAGCCACAGCCTGCAGCCCCAAGGCCCTCCGCCCACACCAGAAGGTCCCATACAGACGCACATCCCTGTGCAAAGCATGTGCAGGGAGGGGCAGGGCGGGAGAGCACATGCAGTTGTCACGGAAGCAGAAGCCACGCACTGACCTTGAAACTCCAGTAGTTTGGCTGCTGATGGAAATAAGAGAAGAGATGGTTATGAGGGGCTGGGTGGGGAGAGTAGGGGCAGGGGAGGGTTGGAGACCCTTGAAGCTCAGCACTCAGCCCTGGGACACGGGCCCTCCACCCTCCCAAGAGCAATAAGGATGCTACGCCTGGTACATCCCATTCACTACTGAGACCCAGGATGGCCCTGAGCAGGCTCCAGGCTTGTTGGTGGGGGCAGGGGAGAGCCATTCCAGATGTTCACAAGCCACACGCTCTAGTAACTGTCCTCAGTTACAGGTGGGGAAAGGTGCAGATGACTGTGATATAGAGAACCCACAAGATAATGACAGATGAATCAGGGCTGCAGAGTCAGAGAAATGGCATCTGGTTGCGACAGGCCAGGAGAAACTTCCCAGAAGAGGTGGCATTTGAGCTAGGTCTTGAAAATGGAGCAGCTCAGGTTGGGTAAAGGCATGCTGAGTAGAGGGGACAGGGTGGGCAAGTGCCCTGGGGCAGCCAAGTGGAGAGTGTGTTGAGCGAATAGTCAATTGTCCAGTTTGGCTGGGATGCAGGGCCTGGGAATGTAGAAGATTAGGCTGTAAAGAGGGAGCTGGGGCCAGATAACTGGGCTTAAATGCCAAGCAAAAAGTATGTAGCCTTAACAGGTTGGACAAGCAGAAAGCATTTGAGTGAAGCAGAGTGGGGTCAGAACTGGACCCCAGGAAGGTTGGTGGGGAAGGGAGTGGAAGAGGGAGGCTGGGGACCAGGCCAGGGCAGGGAGGCCTGTTAGCATAATGGACCTGGATTATAGAGAAAGGTGGACACATGGCAGTCACCTCACAGCACTAGGCAACGGATGGGGAATCCTGGGCAACAGAGGGAGTTGGGGAGACCAGGAAATACCGTATGGCAGAGAGATAACAGAGGAGGTCTCCTTACATCCCTAGAACGACAAGCCTCAGATTCCTCCTCATTCACAATAACCTAGGGTCACCCTGCCTTCCCTGGAGGCCAGAAGGCCCTTCCAGATGGCTAAGGACAGGAAGGAGTGGCCTGGAGGCTGGGTTGGTTCTTGGCAAAGCTGAGGGCACCCTGCTGACCGGTGCCAGCCTCAGCAAGAAGACAGAGGCAGCAGATGGCCTGGCCCTGGGGTGCCTGGCACCAGCAAACAAGATTCCCCAAGCCTCAGAGCCACTGGCAGAGGAGAGGGACACCGAGGGCCCCCAATGGGAGAAGAACACAACAGCAGAGTGTTCTGGGCCACCTGAATGCTTTAATGACAAAGAGGAGTTGGACAGGGGCTGAGTGGAGGGGCACTGCTGGGATGGCGCCTTGCCCTGAGTTAGAACTTTAGGGTGGAGGTGATGCCAGGCTATGGCTGGGGTCAAGAGGTTCCCCACCTCCCTCCAGCACCGGCTCTCAGAGGTATAAAAAATATTGACATGCCAGGCAGGGGAAGGAGAGGCCAAAGCCTGGACTAATTGATGGATATATGCCACCCCCATGGGTGCCAGGGGATGCCCACAGGTGCCGAGGTGAGGGGAAACAAGAGGCTGGAGAAACAGGTTCTAGCCACAGCTGCCTGTGGCCTTGGGAAGGGGAGGGATAACAGAGGGAGAGGACACATTGCGGGCAAGAGGAGCCAGGCAGAGGGCACGGGAAGGTTTATGGTAAGAGTCATGTCTACAGCCCCGGCGGTGATGGACGGCTCTGCAGAAAAGGCTGCCGTCCCTTACCCACCACCACCATTATACCGTGTACACATGGGCCACCCATAGCGCCCCCACAATACGCAGGCCCACGCTGACCTGCACACAGATTTCCAGATATTCTCGATAGTACATCACCACAAGCACACCCCCACGAAGGGACACAAGCACTTAGAGAGGAGCCCTCCACAGTCAGAACAACCCCAGAAACGAACTTAGAGCAGATATTCATACGTAGCCCACCCCTACTCATACACAGACATGCACCCTCTACAGGACCCTGACTTGCTCACACACACTGCCACAAGCACCACTCTAGTTACAGAAACAGAGGCACCAGTACCATTCAATGTCCCGCAGAGTCACAGAAACAGACAGAAGAACTACCGATACCCACTCACATGTATGTACACACACACACCAACTGCAGAAACACACCAAGCAGTACACACACACACAAAGAGAAAGTCTCGTCCTTCCTTTCCCCCATTAGCCAGGCCAGGTGCCTCTGGCCACCTCAATTATTATCCCATGCCTGTGATGTCCCAAATATAATATTATGTCAGGTAGGTGTACTCCTCATTCAAAGGAGACAGAATATGCCCCAGCCCCCAATGTCAACACATCCAACTCAGTATGTGCAGATGGCTGGGGCCTACATTGTGCCTTTGGGAGGGAGACAGGGATGGGACCTATCTACAGCTACACTAGCTACGCCTTCAACATGGGCCTGCTTGGGGTTCCCAAGGCTGGGCACATCCACCTGGCAGTCAGAGCTGGAAGGGAGGAGTTACAATCTGGGGCCAGGGGAGAAAACTGTATAGCATCAGTGCCACAGAAATGGCCAGCCAAGTCCCACTAGAGGGTACAGATGGAAGAGTTGCTGCATTTGTGCTTGGCCAACTTGGAGTGAGGCTGCAATCAGAGTCCTGGGACTTTGAGCTCTAGCCTGTAGAGTACACTAAGCGAATCCTGCCCTCCATCCTCTCTGGCAAGTGGAAAGAAGGATCCTCTCTCGTGCTGGCCCCAGCAGGAAGGAGACAGTCTCCTGGCAACTTAGTGTCCTTGGAGTGGGGAAACTTTACAGGGTGTTAAACCCATGGGACAGCCTTGGGTGACAGAGCAGAGAACTCCTCCCTGGCTCACTAAGGTGGGGCTCTCCCCATCCAACCTCCAGCACCCTTTACCTTCTCACTCTTTTCCTTGGTTGTCTGTTCCTCCTGCTGTGCCTCTCACAGTGCCTGGTATATAGCAGGCCCTCAACAAACATTCAGCCATGAATGAGTGCCAAGAAAATAGGACCAGCCCACAGGAGGAGGGGGATGTCTCTGAATACTCTCATCTGGCACCACTGCCTCCATCTCCTGGTACCCAGCACTGCTCAGCCTTCTGGGCCCTTTCCCAGGGGATTTCCCAGCACCAGGAACCCTCCACCCCAAGGAAAGCACAAGGCAGGAAGGGCTCAGGAGAGATCTGACTTCCCAGCCCAAGGAAAAAACCTCCAAAACCAAGAAGACGCTGTTTCCCTTCCTCTACTCATGGGGGGGGGGGTGTCTTCCCTTCCCAGAGGACAGTGAGAAAGTAAAATAAGAAAAGGGTTGAGTAAGAGACCCTGTCACCGGTAATCACAGGGAGGAATATTACAGAGGCTAGGGAAAATGAGACGGGTTCTGAGAGGAAAAGATGGAAGCCCTCCATCCACTGTAGGGACCCAGGCTTTCAGAAATGGGGGAGGGAGAGCTCTGAGACCCAAGGAAGCAAGGCCAGGGAGTCCTCAAACTCCCTGGAGGGAAGAGGAAACAGCTTCTTCCCTCTGGGGTATGGGGAGTTAACGCCCTCCCTCCTCTACCCTAGGGGCCCTTAGTGGGGTTCTACTTTCCTCTAGCAGCTGGTCCCTTCTCCCTCACGCTGTGCCCTAGGAGGGCGGGGTTGTGCCCCCTGGGGGGCCTTATCCCAGCCAGACAGCTGAGGTCTTGCTACTCCCCTGGGCAGATGTCCCCTGTGGGCTAGGTGAGTGCGTGACCCCCTCCTTGACCTGGAGTCCCTACCACGCATCCTCCAGGAGGGCGGACAACCAATAGGTCGCACCTTCACTCCTTAATCCCCTGGCTCCGCGTGCACTGGCGCACACACCCACCTCTCAACTCCTGTGAACACGCATCCACGTAAACACCCGCCCCCCAGGCTGGGACTACGCAACGCGCCCTGCGGGCGCCACCTCCCACCACTCACATGCATGGCCCTCCCCTACGTGTGCCCCTAGACACCCTCACCTCCCACCCCTTCCCAGTGCAGTGGGTGCGTGTGTGGGGGGGCGGTGCTGCGGGACCTGCGCTGCGCAGGGGGCGAGGGCGCACCCCGAGAAGGTCATGACTTTGCGAGGTTGGGGGAGGGGGCGCCCTCCGCATTTCGGGGTGGGGGGGGCCTGGCCCACGCGGAGGCTGCGAACGCGGTGGGGGAAGGGAGGGGGCGTTTCTCAGGGATCCGGAACCGCAAAGGCCTGCGCACCCCACACCCCAGGACAGAGCCGCGGAGCGGGCCCCCCATCTTCGTGCCCCCGCTCCCCGCAGAACCGGAGGTGGCGCCCCCTGCTCCCCGCAGCCGCTCCGCTCCCCTTACCTGCGGCCACAGGTGTATGCGCGGGGCCTCTAGCCCCTGGTCCCGCGTCGGGTGGGGTAGGGAGGGCGGCCCCTACTCCCACCCGCCCGGGCTCTCCCCTCCCCCGGCCGCCTCCGCAGCCGCAGCCGCTGTCGGTGCCCTTTGCTGCAATGCGAGAGCCGCCACCGAGCCGGCCCGGGCCCCGGTCGCCTCGGTAACCGCGACTCCACCTGGCGCGGCGCAGCGCGCCGCCGTGCACATCCTCTCTCCTGCCCCCTCCCCCGGCGCGGCCCCGCAGGCGCAGCCCCGCGGAGGAGCGGCGGAGGCTGGTGGCTGCGTCGCCGCGGTCACCCGATACGCCGGCCCTCCGCAGGAGACTCGGGTTGCAGAAGGAGGGAGGGAGGTTAGACAGCCTAATGGAAGCGGGGGAGGGGCTGTAGCTTGGAGTCTAGTCTCTGGTCTCCCAGGGTCCTTTCCAGGCCCCCACGCCAAAGGTCTGATCTAAGGTGGGGGGAGGAGAGTGTCCTGCTTCCTGACCCGTCACCCTCCAAATTCACAATCTCTCCCCACCAGTCTCAGCTGTGCACCGTTGCCCTCTTAGTTCTCCCATGACTCAATTCCCAGCCAAGTCTGGGAGGCCTAGGATTTCTGTTTCTTTGATGGCCTCTGATCCTGCTCTGCTGTGTGACTCTGGCATTTGCTGAAAGTCTCTGGCCCTGCACTTTATAAAAAGGAGACTCAGACTCAGCTATGGGGAATGGAAAGTGTGATCACTAAGTATCAAGTAATGACAAAATCCGGGGCACAGCCACTGTTCTCAGTAATTCCAAGGTTCTGGGGTGAGGGTCCCCTTCAAGCTCTCCTCCTTCTTCCATCAGAGCAGACATAGGCAGGCCTAGAACCCCTTGACCTGGGACAACTGAGCTCACCAAGTCCAGCCTCACGCCTCTTCATCACCCCAACACTATCTAACACCAAGACACTCCATCTAGGGAGGGCCTCTGCATATCCCGGGCACAGTGCACTTGTCCTCCGCCCCATCACCATTCCTGTCTCAGCCCCATTTTGGCCTCCACACGTACTTGGCCACTCAGTCTGTCCCACTTGCCATCCAGCCTGGGAGTAGACACATCTTTGCTCCCCTAAGTTCAGTCAAGATGGGGCGGGGAGACAGGCTGACTGCCCTGTGAGTGATGCCAAGCCATGCCAATCTGTTGCTAGGTTTGAGTTCACTTGGCCAAAACATCTGAAGTTTTATCCTTCCCTAAGCTGTCACATTTTTATTTCTCCTAATTCTTGAAAAGGTTGAGGTTTGCTGCCCCTCCCCAGGCAGAGCAGGGCGTGTGAGGAAATGAAGCTGGCACCCATGCTGTCCATTGGATCCTCTGCCTCGATACCTCCTCCGCCTCCTACAGCTGAATGCCCCTAAGTCCAGGCCCGCTGGGGGCTGCACTTCCCCGTTATAACTCTGATTCTCTGGTCCCTCCTTCCCGTTTGGGCCTCGGATGTCTATTTTTCTCCCATGGCAATGTCCTGGTCTGAGCTGGGAGCCTAAGCCATGTCCAAGTGTGCCCCTGTCTAAGCTGAGATCCATCTTCCCATCAAGGAAACTGAGGCTTGATGGGGAAGCAAGGAACAACTTCAGAATAAATGGACAGATGCCAATGTCCTCTTAAAATTTTGAAATTAAGCCTTCAACACAGCAAGCAGGGTGGGGAGAGACATCATGAACTTCCTGATGGCAAGACATCAGGGGAAGGCTGGGTCTGCTCAGAGATGGAAGGGTGGTGGGGTGGGGATAAGGGAATGAGATGATCTGCAGTGGGATGGGAATTAAGTTCAGGGCATAAGAGACTCCTGAAAACCAGAGGGCAAGGGTGGGGGAGGGACTCCTATTTAAAGGAGTAAAGAACACACAAAAAAATTTTTTTCAAAACCTGAGTATTCCCCCTCAAAAAATTCCTTCCCCAAAGCCAAATCTTGCCACAGGTTTGGGGAGAGAGTGGTAGGAATTAGGCAATCAGGGGGAGAGTACAGGGCATAGAAGTCTCCTGAAAATGGGGGACCCTACCTAAGAGAAAGAGATGCCAAGTAAAAATCCGGGATATTCCCCCCTCCAAAAAAAATCCTCCCCAAAGCCAAACTCCACCAAGGGTTTGGGGGCGTGGGGTGGAGGTGGGTGACTCACCTGGGCCGGCTGTCCAGCCCCGGAGGGGGCGGAGTCGCCATGGAGGTGGGAGCAGAGGGAGCTGAGGAGGCACACGGGGTCCACGGTCCAGCCGCCAACCTGTGTGTGCGAAGCGGGGGACACCCCATTAGGGGGAGCGGGCAGGAGCCGCTGGGGGGCTGTGATGGGTAGGAAAGGGCATTCCTGGGGCAAGCTTTGGCACAGAGCTCACATCACAGAGGGACCCTGCACCCCTGGCTAGTCCCTTCGTGAGTCTGGGTCTCTAACTAGAGCCCTTCATTGGTCTGTTTCTGGATGTTTCTCTCCTGTCAGGCTGGGGGCTCCCTGAGCCCAGGTGAGGGCCTTCCCCATCAGATACTCCTGAGGTCTCTTTCTTCAGTTTTCAACCACCTCCCTGTACACTCTGACAGGGAGCTGCTCCTCACCTCTCCCGTCCTCCAGCTTTTCATTCCCTCCTCACTGGAGATGTCACCTCTTACCAGGAGCCATCTGCAGGGGTCCTCACCCCAATGTCCCTCTTTTCCGACAGCACACTCTTCCCTGCCATCTCAAAGGAAGCGACTCTGTTCTCCCACCCAAGGCCACACCATACTTAAGGCTGGAAGCCCATCGTCTTCTGATTCCTCCAAGACCTTACCCCCATGACCCTCTTCCCCCTCAGCAACCTCAAATTCATTCATCTTCATTCATTCCACAAACATTTACTGAGCCAGCCCTATGATCAGGCACCGAGCATTCCAGGGCAAGTGAACTGGCCGAAGGTCCTACCCACTTACACTCTAAGAGAGGGAACGAATGAGTGAACGAATAAAGAAATGAATTTGAGAGTAAGTGGCTGTGCTTTGATTCATTTACTAAGTATTTAAGGAGTGCCTAGTAGGTGCCAGAGAACATGCCAGACACGGATGAGGCCCTCAAACAAGCCCACATCTTCTCACAGGCCTGCTGCCCCTTGAGGCCGCCACTTGGCTGTCGTCAGCTTTCTCTGGCCAAATCTCCCCAGATAGGCCAAGGGTCCTATTCCCTTGCCACCTTCAGTTTCCTCTGAAACTGATCATTACCTCACCACACTAGGAGAAATGAGCTCTCACTCCCCCTGGGGACCCACAGATCCTGGCCAGTTCCAATGGCTTTCTCTCTTCCCATCCCTCCTGACTTCTGAACTGTAGGGGGCCCTCCTGCTGGGCCTTTCTCCTCTTCCTCAAGATGCAGAGCTGTTCCTGGTTCCCCTTCCCCACAGCCATCAATGGGGCCCTCTCCTCTCTCAGACTCCATTCCACCCTGGTGACATTGTGTATGTGCCAGGTCCCACTTCCATTCTGCCGTCATGGTGGTCAAGCCTCCTCCTGAAGCTGTGGTCCCTTCAAAGTCTTCAGCTGCACAAACAGTGCCTACCAGGCATCCCTGTGACTGCCCTACCCACTCCTCAAACTCATCTCCCATGTTCCTGTCCCCCACCTCCAACCATTTCCCTCCCAAGTCTCTCATTTCTCCCCAAGGCACCAACATCTCCCTGTCACCCAGGTTTTTCTGTCTTTGCCTCCTAGATCCAGGCAGCAAACAAGACTTGTTCAGTCTTCCCTCCAACCCTCCATGCTTTCCCCTTTGTCCTTCATAAAACACTCTCTTCTTCCTCTCCTTCTCCTGCCTCCAGCCCCCATTTCATCCCCTCTTACCCACCATAAAAAAACACCATGGCCCTTCTAGCCACTACCTTCTGGTCCTCCTTTTCAGTCTGCCCTCACACCTCCCATAATCCCCTACTCTGAGCCTTCTGCACCAGCCAGGTAGACGCCTGTGCCAATCCTCAAAGCAACTATGCTCAGGCCTATGTTCACCTCTGCTCCCCAACTCCTCCCCATCTCCTAAAACAACATTCTTTTTCTTGATGCCTAATCAGTCCTTTTTCACCCTTCTAAGCCTAGTGTAGTTACCTCCTCTTCCAGGAAGCTTTCCCGGACCAGACACTTGATCTCCCCTCCTCCAAACCCTCTCCAAACTTACTGTGCCCCTCACATTCAAGTTTAACCATCTTTTTACCCCCATCTAGATCACAAATGCCCCTGCCCCCTCCTCCCAAGCCAGAACAAACATAGGGAACCCACTGAGGGGGATCCCTGAAGGTGGGGGGGCATATCTCTTTCTTCTGTAACTCTCCCTTATCACAATTGTAACTCTGCTCCCAGGAGGACTCTGGAGCTAAGAAAAGGCAAAAAGCCAGACAGAACTGAGGTGACATCAGGGGGCAGATAAGGTACCAGAAATGCACCAATATGTCCTTGTTCCCTGCAGTGAGGATGGGGTAAGGACACTCTTCCCCTCCCCTAGCCCACCCAGCAGTACCTGGAAACGGGGGACAGAGCAAGGCAGGCATGGGAGCAGGAGCTGATACCCCAAGGCTCAACCGAAAGGACGCTGATGGAATGTAACACCCTCCCCTCTGTCCCTTCTCCCAGAGTGGATAATGCCTGAGTCTCAGCAGTCAAGGTGCCTCACCAATGTGGGACTGTAAGCAGAAGGCTAGTCCCAAGAAAGAACTTTCCTACAGACAAGAAGGTCATACTCAGATGGCGAGTTGCAACCAGAACCCAAGGATCTGGGAGAGGTTGATAAGGGAAGCACACCACCTCCCACAGAAGGAGATGAGACAGGTGCTGGACCGGAGGCAGGAGCCCCAACTCCTCTCTAAACCTTACTGATGGCAGGAGAGATACCAAGGCACAGAGAGAGGCAGCTTTTAGCTCAAAGTCACACAGCAAGTCTTCTTAGGGGGAAGGACAGGGGGAGAAGGAGGTTAAAGGCCCCAGGAGTTCCGGGCTCTGTTCTTGCAGGGGCTGGAAACACATCAGATCCATCCTACTTAGACTCCCACTGGGCAATATTGCAGAGGTGCAGACCCCAAGCATCTCAACTCCACCTCTGGACAGACCCTCAGGCTCAGAACAGTCAGTCCCTAAGGCATCCCCTCTTCCTCCCCAGCACTCCCTTGGCCTCCCAGACATGCCTTCTTGCCCCTCTGCCCAGTCCAACAGCCCAAGTTTCTGAGGCTGGGCTTTCTCTGCCCAATCCTGTGCTCCAAATCCCAGGACTGCAGGCAAAGGTCTGGAAGCTGAGCCCCCACTTCTTCCTCCCCAGGTTCCAGAAAAGGCCAACCAGGGCAACTGCCCAACTCCCCCATCCCCCCTTCTCTGCCCCAGACGCCTCTCAGAATCGGAATGAGCCTGGGGGCAGAGGAGCCCTGGATCAGACCTGCTGCCCCGCCACCTGGCCATGGCCCCCAGCCCCCAGCTTGCAGCTGGGCTCCCACTCACCTGCTCTCGCATCCTGTCTTGCTGACCCCTCAGGGCCAGAGCATGCTGGGGATACTTGCTCTTCAGATGGTCCATGAAGGCATCGCGCTTGCGGTCGGCGTCAGCCTTCTGGAGCCCGCTGAGGGCCTCCAGGCTCTGGGCTGCGATCACCGTGTGCCTGCGCTCCGAAGTGTGCACCAGCCCCACGTTGGAGAAGCGCCGGCCCCCACTGCCCCCGCTGCCCCCGCCCCCCAGGGTCCGGTACTCGCGCGGGTACTCGGCATCATCCGCAGACAGCATGGGGGGGCTGCTCCGCTCTGGATCTGCGAGAGGGGAGAGGGGAGAGGGGACACGGCGGGGTCACTGTGCGCCTATCTTGAGGCTGCCCAGCCACTACTGGGGTCACTGTGGGGAGGGGTGGGATCGGGCCTGGCTTTGGGGCAGAGAGGCACCTGGGGCGAGGCAGGGGCTGCCCACCCCCCACTAGGGGGCAGAGGAGGAGAAGGGGGGCTGGGGCAGAGGAGGAGAAGGGGGGCTGGGGTGGTAAGTGAAACGACAGCGCCAAGGGAGGTGGGAGACAAGGGCAAGACCCAGTTTCTTGCTCTTCTGCAGCTGGGTTTGGAGGGTTAATGACTGCAGGTGAGGTGCTGTCCTCTGAGGCCAAGGGAGGTTTGGAAGCAGGGGTCCTGGACACCTCTCAATCCACACATTCCCTTCCCCCTTTCTAATGCTGGTGTGAACAGGTGAGGAAAGGGGAGTTTCCTCTTAGATGCTTGCTGGAAAGGAGCCTGCACAGTTTTACTTTACTTTCAAGAGCATCCTCTAAGGTCAGATGGAGGGCCCTAGCCTCCTCCCTCAGACTAGCATCCAGGACACATGTGTCCTAAAGGCTAGGGGTTGGCTTGGAAAGGGGCCAGGACTAGGATACATTGAGAAGGGATGAGGACAAAGGTCATACTTGGGGCTTCTCAAGGAGATGGAGGCCCAGGGACTGGGGCATGGGACCCTCTTTCCCCTCCCTCCCCAGAGACAGACAGATGGACACACAGGAGAGGCTGGGCACAGAGAGGACAGTGAGAGATGGATTTGGGACAAACTCAAAGGAGAAAGAAAGCAGACAGAACAGCTCAAGCCCTCCCCCCTGGGGCCCTCCCCTGACCCATCCCCTCCCTTTCTTTAGTCTCCCCTCCCAACACAAACATACAAGTTCAAGACCTGTAAGGGACGCACAGGGGACAAAGGACAGTACAGGAGCGAAGAAAAGAGAAGGCCGGGGGTTGAGGTCCCCACCCAGAACTGAATCCTTTCTCCACGTGCCCACCAGCCCTGAGCTCCTGGCCTCTCCAGATCCAGTCCTGCTGCCTCCCACCCTCCAGCCTCAATGTTGCCCTTCCCACAGCCCAGCAGGGACAGGGGTTCCCGAGGAGTTGTGGGGCTTAGCCTCAGCCATGTTCCTGGGTATATAACAGATTGCTGTCTCTCATCCCCAGAAATCAACCCCACTGGCCAACAAGCAGTCTTCCTGACATGCCCCCACCCCCACAATCCACCAACCTCAAAACAGCGCCCCTCAAGTGTAGTCTAGGTTTGGGGAGTATCAGGCACTACAGTAGACACACGCACCTCCACACAGGGCCTGACTCACAGGGCCAACTGGAGCCAAAGAGGAGGAGGCGG